CTTGACTACAATAGGGTGCAGTTCAGACTTAGCGCATTGTAATGGGGCCAAGCATGGTATCTGGGAAGGGTAAGTAAAGTGTTTGGTTAAGAACAATAGACATTCATAACTGTTTCCAAATCGTTAAAACCAGGGACAGGGGTTTCCGTCAACTGAGAGTGTTCTATAAGCTTTTACTTCTAATAGAGTGGGCAAATTGATACACTGTGCTACATTTCATTAATTTAGCAACATGAATTGCCTCCCAACCAAGCTAGCCAAAATGATTCACAGTAAAACTGAAACAACCACTTTAAAACGTGGCTGGGAGGTACCAATGGTCTGATTCGGTGTAAGGCAACTCCATGGATTTAGGAGGAGTTTTGCAAGGGAGGTGGTCTCTCAAGGAAGAACCATGTCACAGGGGTGTGGCAGCAGCTTGGCATGCTAGAAGTCCTAGGTGGAGGTGGAGCCTGACGAGGGTGGGGTTTGGGGAGGGGAGGTACTTTGGTCAGGTATAATGTCATACAGTCTACCTTCCAAAGGGGCCATTTTTCTCCAGGGGAATTGATCTCTTAGAGATTAATTGTATTGCCAGGTGACCTCCAGACAGACTGGAGGCTGGAAACCCTATCTATGAGAATGGATTTGTATATTTTTCTGGGAGTGGTTGTCCTGTACATTATTTTTAACCTTGGGTGGTAAAGAAGATAGAAGTTCCACAATCTTTTTCCTGCATCTTGGAACTGATGAATTAGGTTTGTTTTGTTTTTTTAATGAAGACTCGACAACTCCTCCCACTTTCCCCCTCTACTTCTGTTGTTTTTTTGCAAAAATTTGGTAAAGAAGTTTCTTTCTTCTCATTGTATCCAAAGAAGTGAGCTGTGTCTCATGAAAGCTGATACTATAATTAATACTGTTAGTATCCAAGGTGCCACTGGACTTCTGGTTTGTTATGCTACAATAGAGTAATATGGCAACTTCACTGGAAGTTCATCACAGAGAAGACTTATTGCCCATTTACTCTCAGCAGCTATGAAGGTTAGTGTTGCTCAATGAAAGAGCAATACATTCGTAGTCAAGGAAGTGGTAAGGGTGGGGGTTCCTGTACCTCATATTGGCAGAACCTGCAGGGTTATGCAATGGGGCTTATTCCTGTTTCACTTGTGTATAAGGTTTTTTTAATTAAGAAGAGAAGAAGAAGAGATTGAATTTATCCTTCACTCAGAGTCTCAGAGCAGCTTACAAACGCCTTCCCCTTCCCCTTCCCACAACAGACACCTTGTGAGGTAGGTGGGGCTAAGAGAACTCTGACAGAAACTGCTCTTTTTCAAGAACACCTCTGACAGAACTATGGTTTGCCCAAGGTCATCCAGCAGCTGCAAGTGGAGGAGTGGGAAATCAAACCCAGTTCTCCCAGATTAGAGTCCAAACACTTAACCACTACACCAAACTAATTACATGCTATCATAGTTCCATAGGAGCAGAGGTCATTTCAGGGGGGATCGCGGGGGATCGCAGTTCCCCCAGGTGAGGTACAGGGGGCGGGGCACATGACGAAGCCCCTTCCCCATGTGTGTATCTATATCTACAGACTGAGAATTCACTTCATGCATGTGATGAAATAGATTATTTTATTTTTTTATTTATGTATTTATTTATTTATTTATTTATTTATTTATTTATTTGAGTTATATCCTGCCTCCCTGCAAAGCAGTCTCAGGGCGGCTTACAAAACTGTATAAAACATTAAAACAAGAAGCTTAATAACATCACTACAATACAATCCTAAATATAATAAATTATAAAGTGCTAGTACAACTAATATAACAATGGCCAATATTTGCAGCAATCACAGTATACAGTCAGCATAGTCTGAGTTGTGTCAGGCTGTTGGTGGTATAATAATATTAATACTGATGTTACTACTGATGTTGGTGTTGGGGCCAGGGCCTCATTCTAAGCAGTGCAGCTCCCTAATCAAAGGTCTGGTGGAAGAGATCCATCTTGCAGGCCCTGCATAACTGTGAAAGGTCCCACAGGGCCCTGATGTCCTCTAACCATGATAGCTGGAACGACAATACATCTGTAATTTTTCTAATAGTAGCACAAGTTTCCTTTTTGGGTTTTTTTACAACAGACTACCACTCTAGAATTTTTTCTTTTCAATTACTCAGTCTGTGCCAGGATTTCCAAATGGTTTATCTCAAGAGTTTGTTTTCAGCATGGACTGAGATCTGGAAGAAGACCACTTCTGGGCATACACAGAACATCTTTCCCTTAATACTGAAAAACTGCATTCTCTTTTCTTCCCACACCCATTAATAATTCCACAGGATATTTAAATATGCAGAGGAAGCACTGAATTATATTTTTCATCATTCTGTAAAAATGAGGATAGGACTACATGCCCTATACCTTTCATAAGAATAAAATAAAAATCTTGCTAGTCCAGTATCCTATTCCATATGCAGAACAGGAAATCTTACCAGTGGGGAATAAAGGGAACTGCTATCAGTTCCTCCCCAAAACTGGCATTCACAAATCTACTGCCTCTGAACATGGGAATTACATTGTTAGTGGTCTTGCTGAGGGGCCAGTTATAGCTAGTAAACCATAAACACCTTTTCTAATGTATATATCAGCTCAAATATCATAAGTGCAATACACTAGCTGGCCCAAAATGACACTAAATGGATGCCAGCCAAAAACAAGCCTGCACATGTAGTTTAGAAGTGTGAGTAAGGGTGGCTGGCTAGCTGATGATTTCCTTCCTACCATGGAAAGATCTATTTATTTATTTAAATTTGTACCCCACCCTCCCCATCATGGCAGGCTCAGGGAAGCTCATATAATAAAAGTACACTATCAATAGATATCATACATCTAAAAACAACCCTTCAAACAATTCATTAACAATTCATTAAAACCGGCTTACATCATATTAAAGTGCTAGCAGTTGACTTTATGATATCAAAGATGGCCTCACACATTCTATAACTTCACTTGATATTCAGTCCGTTGATCTTTCTCAGTTTCGGTTGGCGAGCACAGGCTATCAGTAATAGGCCAGGCATCAGGCTTCAGTTATTGTTAATGGTGGCGGCGGCTCCTAATCGAAGGCCTGGTGGAAGAGCTCCATTTTACAGGCCCTGCTGCACTGTAAATGGTGGAAGAGCTCTGTCTTACAGGCCCTGCGGAACTGCAAAAGATCTCGCAGGGCCCTGATCTCCTCTGGGAGCACATTCCACCAGTATGGGGCCGCCACCGAGATTGACCACATACCTGTTGAGGCACTCTCAGTATTCAGCATCCCTTTGAACTCATATGCTGAACACAAGGGAAGGGTGTGATTGTGCAGACTGAATGTATTGGTAAAGAAAAGCAATTAATGATGAAAATATCGAGGCAAGCTTGGAACACATGTAGGCCATCTGCATTGGAACAAATGTAAGGCAGTCAGAAGGTCTGCAGAAAAAGGGGTAGATTAAAATTCTTAATAAACTTAAACCTAACCCCAAACTGTTGTGGAATCTTTCTTTAGGGTGTGGGGTAGCAAAATGGAAGATTCTAATGCAATGATAGCGTAGAGGAAGCTTGGAGGTACAAATAATAATCTATTGATTATTGCTGGCATTTCAGAGGCCTCTTGGAAAAGACTATGGGATTTCTAGGAAGAGATTCCTAACCTAATAATAACTAAACAGAATTGTAGAAACAGATGTTTTATATTTCATTTAATGGCCAGAGAAAAGACTTTCCTAATGAACAGGTATTCTAGCACCAAGAAGGCATCAGTACACTTTTTAATTAGGATGATATGGTTCACCACAATAATGACCTGTCATAATGAAGATCTTTGTTCAAGCTCACTACTTCAAAGAAACTCTCCTTCTTTAAATTTAAAATGTTTTAACATATAAATATTGGTTTACTGAAAATCCTTATATATCCTTATATATAATTCTATTTTGGGGTGACTCTTTCCTGAACGTTCTGCATGCTCCCACAGCATTTGGCTCCTGGACCTGTCACTCTGACAGTGTGCCAATCCAGGGCCACATTGCTGGAGTCCCACCCACAGAGCCAGCATGTACCAAAAATCAACTCACAACTGAACTTCGGCTCAGGAGAAAGGACGGGTCACTTGGCTGGGGCCCTGACTTCTAGCCTCCTTCTCCCCTGGCCTAGAGGCTCTTCCTGGCTCCATGCTGCTCAGGCTCACCTGGACTGGCTGAGTCTCCAGTCCCCACAGCCTCCTGGGCTCCTGGGCATGGCCCTGTCCCTGGCCACTGTCTTCACCCGGTGCTTCCTTTGCTGCCCTACCGCTGGCCTAACTGCTCCTCCACAACTCCATGGTTCCAGGTGGGCGAAGGGCCACGGAATGCCTCTGGTGATGGGGGGTGGCCTTCTGTTTTTGCTGATGACTCTCTGTGAATCCCGGAGGGGACCAGGACACAGGCAGGTCGCTATAAGTGACTCCCCCCCAAGTCATTCCCACTTGCCCTGCAGGTGGCAGGCAGAGCAAAGGGGGGCCACCAGAGACAACCAGTTGGCCAAGTAGGGGGATGAGCCAGACATGTGCGCACAGCATGGGCCCAAGCACTGGGGAGAGGGGAGAAGGCAGATTGCCGCCGCCGGCCTCTGTGCAGGCAGACAGATGGATGGAGAGATGAGTTATTAAAAAATGCTGAGAGGCTGTGTACAGCTGCCTTCACACATATGGAGACGCAAGGAACGGAGCCAGGACTGTAAGGTGCCTCTCACATCTTTCTAGAGCTCGTTGTATTGCTTCTATAATGGGCTTTGCTACTAGTATGTATATATATTGCTTTTCCTTATTTGCTGTATACTTTTAAATGTTAAAACATAACTTTTAATAGTTTGTCTACAGCAAAGAATAACTGTTAAAAAGTAAATATCTCTGAATGTTTATAAGGATAGAAAACTAGCTAAATTCTCAATTCTCTAATAAACTTTGCTTAAGACTAGCAAACTGCTAACAAGCAGAGAATGGGAACATGGCCAATCAGGTATGTAGTCATCTCAGAGGTCAGCCAGAAAACAAAGATATCAATCACAGGTCCTCCTGTTAATTGAAAAGGCTAATTAAGAATGCAGAACTTATGTTATACAAGAAGGACCCCTGCTGGTTAAAGCAAAATAGTATATTTTGTAACATTACAGAGTTTGTTAGATTATATATTTTTTAAAAAATCAGCAAAAATCTTCTGATGGATTATGATCAAGAATAATAGGTGGGCTTAAGGTATCTACAGAAACTTTATGCCATAGGCTACTTTGGAACATTATAAAATATATGTAAAAGGTTTGATTTTTTTAAAAAAATATTACTATAATTTTGTATTTTTTCCATAATTCAATATATAGTTCATATATTGCTTCATCGGTGGGAGGGTAGGGTAAAAGTGAAATAAATAAATTAATTAATTAATAAAATATTTTTTAGTAGAAATAGCTCACAAAATGTTATTAAGAGTGCTTTTATACACATATACACATATATCAATATAAAGGAACCATTTTTGTAATAAGAACAGTTAGATTTTATACTGAGAATGAACTTAGCCTGAAAGTTCATTCAAATGTGAATTCTGGGAAAACAGCCAAAGAAAATGCATTTATCATTCATGGTTGGATTGAAATGGTTGGTTGAAAAATCATACCCAACGAGTACTCATAAATGGTTCTGCATCTACATGGAGGGAAGTCTTGAGTGGAGTGCCACAGGGCTCGGTCCTAGGCCCGGTGTTGTTCAATGTTTTTATAAATGACTTGGAGGAAGACATAGAGGGGATGCTTATCAAATTTGCAGATGACACAAAGCTGGGTGGGATTGCTAATTCTGAAGAAGACAGAGTCAGGATTCAAAATGATCTAGATAGGCTGGAACAATGGGCGAAGACAAATAAAATGAGCCTGCAGTGTGATGTGTGACTGCAAAGAAAGCTAATGCAATCTTAGGGTGTATTAACAGAGGCATTGTGCCCAGATCACGGGAGGTGGTAGTTCCGCTCTATTCTGCTATGGTCAGGCCTCACCTGGAGTACTGTGTCCAGTTTTGGGCACCACATTTTAGGAAGGATGTTGACAAGCTTGTGCATGTCCAGAAGAGGGCAACCAGGATGGTGAGAGGGTTTGAATTCAAGTCTTATGAGGAAAGGCTGAAAGAATTGGGTATGTTTAGCCTGGGAAAGAGAAGGCTTAGAGGGGACATGATTGCAGTCTTCAAATATCTGAAGGGCTGTCACGTAGAAGACGAGCAGATCTATTCTCTGGTGCTCCAGATTGCAAGACTAGATCTAATGGGTGGAAATTACAAGGGAGTTGTTACCAGCTAAATATCAGGAGAAACTTCCTAACTGTAAGAGTGGTTGAGCAGTGGAACAGACTGCCTTGGGAGGTGGTGGATGCTCCTTCGCTGGACATTTTCAAGCGGAGGCTGGACGACCATCTTTCGGGTATGTTGTTAGGGCTTTCTTTCAGCTATGCTCCTGTAGAATGCAGGGTGTTGGACTAGATGACCTGCAAGGTCCCTTCCAACTCTAACATTCTATGATTCTATGGTCATTTTTAACAAGACAACCACCAATATTGCAAGGTAGAAACATGGCCAAGTAACATCTTGTTTGTCAAATGTGTAATTAATGATTGTTGAAACAAAGAAAACCAGACTAAGCATGTACAAATTATGTCAGCAGTGAGGTTTAACAAGACAACCACCAATATTGCAAGGTAGAAACATGGCCAAGTAACATCTTGTTTGTCAAATGTGTAATTAATGATTGTTGAAACAAAGAAAACCAGACTAAGCATGTACAAATTATGTCAGCAGTGAGGTAAAGTTGGGAGGAGCGACAAGAGTATATAAGCCAGACCCCTGTTGTTACTCACTGGACATCTGAGCTGAACTTTTGGCTGTATGTTGTCCTTACCTGAATAAAACATTTTCTACCTTTTACTGCCTGGATATTTTTCTCACACTATGTGGCTTACAGGCTAGCCACACAAGTCACACAGCCTTAGCACCCTCAAGGTGTTGTCTTCAATTGTCATAGATTTGGCTAAGATGCATTTGGTCTTACCTCCAGCACTCAGAAATAGGCATGCTGTTCTAAGTATCTACTTAGGTGAGCTACAAAAACAGAAGAAATAATACATCAGCAGCAGGGACTTCAGCATCCCTTGGCAGTTAAGCGAGCTGAACTCTTGGGAGCAAGTTGCCAAGAACAGAATTATAAATTAAGCAATGCCTCTGTCACACAGCCTTTATTATTATTATTTGACAGGCAATTTTTGCCATTAAGTCACAGCTGATTTATGGAGACCGTGTAGGGTTTTCAATGCAAGAGAAGCGCAGAGGTGATTTGCCATTACCTGCTTCCACGTCACCATCCTGGTATTCCTCAGAGGTCTCTCATCCAAATATTAGCTAGAGCTTACCCTGCTTAGCTTCCAAGATCTGCTGAGATCAGACTGGCTGGGGCTATCCAGGGCAGAGAGTAATTGGTGTATAATGTATATAAAGTATAGACAGTATATTATATATATAGTGTATATTGTAGCAAGTACCACAGCAGCTTCTAAGTAATAGCACGGGCAAAGGGATGCCTGAACTTAAATAGTTGAAGAAGAAATAGAATCTAACTTTCTTTAATTTGTCTTGGGTTATAATTAATATTATTTCTCTATAGGGTCAGAACCATATGAAGAACGAAGAACTAATCCTTGAACACAGGACTTCAGCAAAAATGGAGACAGGGAACCTGATGAAACAGGCTGGAGAACAACTGGGACTGCAAGGTATTCAATAATGTCTCACATTGGAAAATCAGTTTGTATTTTATGACTGCAACACTGTGCCAAATGTATTCCTCCCTGTCTTTCTACATGCACTTATGGATCTGTGTCCATTTCTGAACTTCAGCCTATGAATATATGTGTCAAGCTTGGAAGTTTGTGTCCAAAAAATGGAAAGAGATAAAGGGCATTCACACTTTTATTTAGAATAAGATGGGCAGCATGCAAGGAAAGTGGAGGGACAGAACCTATTCAAAACTTAATAGCTGAATATCAGAGTACACCCAAAGGGAGTTGTTGTTGCTGCTTAAGAAGACAAAAAGGAGGATACATAATATGCTTTCCACATCTGATTAGAAGGGGTGTGTGGGGTTTACATTGTCTGAGATTCTTTAAGAGATAGTCCTTGGGAAAGACAGAGTCCACTCTTGGTTCCCAAGAGACCCTGAATCTGAATTGCTGGGCAAAAGAGCCCTTTTTAAACATTTCTCCCAAGGACCATCAGAAATAGAATTCAGAGCTGGAAACAAAATCCAGTTTGGGGTAGAGCTACCAGGGAGGCTGCTGAGAGGCTTTCTCAGTGTGCAGAATCAGACTAAGTTAAAATTCAACATAAGGACAAAGGACTAGGGTGGCTGATGGTGATATGATTAAAGTCCTGTTTCTCTGGGCAGCTCAGGATACCTTCTTTCATTATTGTGAAATTGATCAGTTGAAAGCTCTAAGAGGGGGATGCAACATTTACACATATCAGCAAGGAAGAGTTAAAGTAATTCCCAGGCATCCAAGACAGGCCCTTGACAATAGTGCTCCAAGGCTTGGTACATTGTTTCCTTGTACAATATGGCTAATTAACACCTTACAGATAGAGACTGTGCACCAAAATGGTGGACCATAGTGACAAGTTTCTGTTGTCCAGTCTGTCAAAATTACAGGATTCCATGGGTGGGGGCTTCCAAAGTAACTTACCTTTATAAAGGCAGGGTTGTCTATACAACAACAGGTGTTAAATGTGCAGCTAAAGTGTGCATAAGGAATCAGGAAACTGTCTACTACCCGTTCCTCAATTGTCATTGTGTAATTTACAAAATAGATGTGTGCACAAGTTCAGTAAATTTAAAGTCCCTCTATGACATTCAGTATAGTTCCAGATCAAGCATCCAGAGTCTATGTGAGTGAAAACTGTACAAGCTTAGGTCTGGGAAAACAAATATGTGGAGGATGGGACAGCCAGCGAGATGCTGATCATCAATCCATTTTGCCCATTTGTTGCTCATTCAAAATAGCTTTATCTACTGGACTGAGGCCCCAGTCACACGGGAGGTTTTGCCCCACAAGAGGGACAAATCGGGGGTGCATCAAATGGGTGTGATCACACCGCAACATCTGGGAAGCGGAGCGCACCCGTCCCCAATCCGTCCTTTCCGGGTGAAACCGTGCATTAAAAAAAACCTAGAAAAGAGTACTACCTACCTGAAGCTCCGCAGCAAGGGTGGCCATGGGATCACTGGCACGCCAGTCTTCCGCAGCATTCGAGGCTCCCGGCCAAACTGTGCATGCACACACATGCACAGCTGGTTGCCTCCCTCTCCGTTCCATGGCTTCCCCCCTGGCATCTGATCGTGCCGGGGAGCAACTGTGCGGCGGCTTGAGGGATCTGTTTGATCCCGCCGCCACGCATCTATTTTGCTGCGGCTCAGAAAAGCCGCGCTTTGGCTGTGCTCCCCCCCCCCCCCCGTGTGACCGGGGCCTGAGAGGTCAAAGAAGGAATCCTGAATACCCATTCACTGTTACGTAGTTGGTTCACAGTACTGTCAGAAGAACACTTCCCTGAGAGAAAGCCCCATTGAATAGACCAGAGTAGGTTTCTGAGACTTGCTGAGGATTGTTCTCTAAATTATTTCCTCTACTCAACTCTACAGGTAACCTGCAACTGGATATTGAGAGCAAAATGCCTAATCTGACCTCCACATCTGAATTTCTGCTGCTGGGATTTTCAGATATCCGAGAATTACAGATCTTACATTTCTTTGTCTTCTTAGCAGTATACTTGGTAGCAGTGACTGGCAATCTTCTCATCATCACTGCTGTAGCACTGGATCATCACCTGCATATGCCCATGTACTTCTTTCTCATGAACTTGGCCATTCTGGATCTTGGCTCAATTTCTGTCATATTACCTAAAGCGATGGCCAACTTCCTGATTAATAGCATGTCCATTTCTTATTCAGGCTGTGTGGCTCAGGTTTTCTGCCTCTTCCTATTTGTAGGGGCAAATTTTGCCATGCTAACAATAATGGCGCATGATCGGCATATGGCTATTTGCCATCCGTTGCAATATGAGACCATTATGCATAAAGGAGCCTGCGTTCAAATGGCAGCCAGTGCATGGGTTTCTGGTATACTTAATGGCACTTTACATACTGGTGGCACTTTTGCCATAAACTTTTGCTCCAATAGGATCAATCAGTTCTTCTGTGAAACTTCACAGATACTAAAACTTTCCTGCTCAGACTTATATCTAATTGAAATTGGAATTCTTCTGTTTAGCTGCAGCTTAGCTGGAGGATGTTTTATCTACATTATTATAACTTAAGTGAAGATTTTTGCAACTGTACTCAGAATGCCTTCTGTGCAGGGTCGGAAAAAAGCCCTCTCCACTTGCCTTCCCCACCTCACTGTGGTGTCTACACTTCTTATCACTGGATTGTTTGCCTACTTGAGGCCTCCCGGTAACACTTCTTCGGAGCCAAATGTAATTTGTTCTGAGATTTATGCTATATTGCCTCCACTGCTGAATCCATTCATTTATAGCATGAGAAACAAAGAAATCAAGACTGCATTGTTAAAGATCATTGATTTTGGACATTTTCTCCAAACCAGCTCCAGGAAAATTCTTCTAGTAAAACTGGGCTGAACTGTCTTCTCTAGTTTATTGTATTTATTGGTTTTGTACCCTCGGCTATGCATGGTATAATATACAGGAAAGAGTTGTTTGGATGCTGTGAAGTACGAGCAGAAGGTGCTGGGATAGGTAGAGGTTTTTCACTTTCCCCTTTAATCAGTAAACAGCTGTGAGGATTAAACTGTGATACTGGTGGAGTTAGAACAAAACAATGGAACAAAAGCATTTTGAAACAGATAACTGCAATTAGGAGAAGGAATCCATCAATCTGAGCCCCCTGCCAATGATGCCATGACCTCTTCTAGCTTCAGAGGAAAGCATCTTGCACCTTATCTCCAACTCAATAATTCTGTCTGTGTACCAAACACATACATACACAACACACCAACACACATACCAACACAAACACACACAAAGGAAGCTGCTTTATACTCAAACAGACCAATGGTCCATCAGGGCCTGCCTTGTCTACATGGACTGCCAGCAGTTCCTCAGGGTGTCAAGCAGAGGTCTTTCACATCACCTACCACCTAATCCTTTTAGTTTGAGATGCCTGGGATTGAACCTGAGACCTTCTGGATGTCAAGCAGATGTTCCAGTGCTGAGCCAAATCCCCTCCGCTTGCCACAGCTCCTCTCCAAATGGGCTGAGTTTTCTTTAGTTGTTGTGATTTTGCATTTCTCTAGATCCGCCCAAAATATGGAGGGTGACTTGTGAAAATCACAATTACTCGTGCAATTTCATTGGAAACAAGCATAGGGAGTGAAGATGTGTTCATTTCTAGCATGAAAAGTTGAATTCAAGTTTGAACGTATGTAACTTTTATCATTTGTCGATGTTATTTTTTTGTATTTTCCTGTTTTTATGTTTATGGTATTAATATCTGTAAATTTATAAAAAATAAAAACCAAGAGGAATACATATATAAACCCTTTCTGCTGGGAATTATAACATCTCAGATGCTTTAATCTATTGGAAAGACACCAAATTGCTTGCTGGTTCTCTTTGAGTGCACCATTACTATTTATGTTAATGGTTTCATAATCTATGACCAACTCTGTTTAAACAGCTGGTCAGTGTCATATGTTAGATTATTTGGTAAAGGTCTTTTTTCTTCTCTCTTTCTCTTTCAGAGGGTCAGATTCTGCACCCTCACACACAGTGATGGTACCTGATTGGTATTTTGCTATCTGTAAACCACCACAATATAAGGCAGTTGCTCATCAAGGTTCTCAGTGCATGGATTAGTGGTATAGTCTGTGTCAGATTACAACTCTATAGACACTTACAATTACTTTATTCTGCAATAAGGTCAATCAATTTGAGTATGAAATCCCACAGTTAATAAAGCTCTCCTTCTCTGACATATACCTATTTGGGACTATGTTGATACATTAAAAGTTTCACCCCAATATAATACTGGGTTTCCTTGCCACATATCCAATCAGAACTTATTCTATGCCTGGAGGAATGCAATATGCTCTAAGGCCTAATGCATCAGAACATAATAAACTATGCATCTAGGATGTACTGGGGCCTACAGGCCAAGTCTGAGGGCTGGCTCTGAACAAATCTTGTAGCACTCCATTAAAACATGTTTGAAAGAATGAACCCACAACTATGCACGAGATAAACCCTAGCTACCTTAACCTATTTTCACCACTTTAATTACATTCCCAAACACTACTGAGAATATGACACCAGCCGGTGTATGTTTTCTTTTACTCCATGCGTAGCATTTTCCTGCAGAGGCTGAGAAGCTTTCTTGTTGAGTCGCTGGGGCTGTCCTTTCAGGTGAAATCAGACATTAGGTTGGATTCAGTCAACCAGTCTGCTGGTGAAAAAGGAAGGAAAGGTCCCCTTTGACCACCAGGAGAAGCTCTGCTGGGGAACTGCATGGAAAAAAGCCACAAGCAATTGCAGGCTGTAGCAGGGATGGCACCTGGAGATCCCCTGGAATTACTGTTCATTTCAAGACTACAAAGATCAGTTCCCCTGCGGGGGGGATGATGTTTTGGAGGGTGGACTCTATGGCACTGTAGCCCACTTAGGTTCCTGTCCTCCTTAGGCTCCATTCCCAAATCTCCAGGAGTTTTCCAACCTGGATCTGGCAACCCTAACCCCCTATCCCCTGCCAATGGCCAGCAGGGATCTGGCAACAGAGGGGGACTGAGCAACTCTGAGTGTTAAACTAAACATGGTTGTGTATTCATGGTCACCCCATTAAAGACATTTTAAAATGTTATGAAGGCCTTATCCTGATTAGGCCTACAGTTCCCCCACACACACTAGCTTGGGACTTGAAAATCTCTTTAAGATGGTAGTGGTATCCTCATAGTGGTCACAAGCAGTTTTCCTTCTAAGCTGAGTTAGTGTGAGCTACCTCACAGTTTTTTTAGGAAGGATGGCTCCAGAGCAAACTAATATATGCAGCAGCCAAATCGCTCACAACTTTAATGCCAGAAGCTCACAAAGTAGAATTTTTGCTCACAAGATGTCACGGCTTAGAGGGAGCATTGGTCACAAGGAAGTTGTCACATTTAGCTTGGCCCAAGGAGGAGGAGGAGGAGGAGAAGGAGGAGGAGGAGGAGGAGGAGGAGACTGGATTTATACCCCTAATTATGGTATAATGAGAGTATTGGAAGCGGTTCTTGTAGTTTTAGATACGTTTTGTGATTCAGACTCAACAACCTAATCACAATTGATTGACAAGACGAGGTATAAAGAAACATAAGAGAATTAAGATATATCTTGTTCTATAGTCTTAAGACTAACATCAAATCCAGAGGTGAAACTGAGACCATTGAGAGGACACAAATTGTTTCTGGGACCAAAGCACCATAATTGGATACCACTTACTGGTGAATAGATCTTGATCTGAGTTCTGTGAAAGGGATGACAATCTGCTGGTGACAGCATCCATTAGAAAATGGTTCCATAATTTCTTGTACCAAATATCTATAGTGGGTGGATTACTGTCCTTCCAAGCGGAAGCTATGGAAGTTTTAGCTGCATCTAGCATAGTTTCAATGGTTTCCTTGTGTGGTCTATTGATCAGTTCTTTGGGCCACGTGTTCAAAAATAGAGTTTCGGGTTCGAGTGGTACCGATACTGATGTAACCTCTTTGATGATTGTCAAAATCTTTTCCCAGAAAAGCTTTATTTTGGGACATCTCCACCAACAATGGGCAAAGTCTCCAATTTGGGCACAGTTCTTCCAGCATAGCGGGGAATTGTTACTAGAGATTCGGGCTAGCATTTTAGGGGTGAGATACCATCTCGACATTAGTTTCAAATTTTGAAATTTTACTGATATAGATTTTGTTTTAAAGCTAGAGGATTGCCAAAAATTCTTCCAGAGCTCATTGTTTAGAGGCATGGTACAATCTTTTTGCCATTCTTTCTGAAAGTTTTGTGTATCTTCGCAGTTTTGAGTGTTCAGTATCGAGTAAAGTTTAGATATTAGGCCTTTGTATTGGCTATCAGGGTTTCGTAGTAGCAGCTCAGTTTTAGTTACTGGACACTCAATTATCTTTAGAGCTTTAATCGAATGTAGGAAATTTCGCATTTGAAAATAGAAAAACCATGGTATGCGTAGTTTTGATTTCCTTTCTAATTCCATTTTTGTCACAATGCCAGATGGTTTAACCACATCAACTATGCGGGTTAAATTAGCTTGTCTCCATTTGAGACTATCTTTGTATGCTATGCCTGATTGGAACCAACCTTCATGGCAAAACGAGGAGTATCTGGAGATTTTAGGTAATAAAATTTCCTTGTGTTTTTTCCAGGTGAACACCGAAGGGAGAAGAATGCCTAGATCAAAAGAGGAAATATGTTTTAGTCTGACAGGATCCCAAAGAAGATCACCTGTCGTGATGGGAGAGAGAAGGTCGTCTTGTAATTCTACCCAGGTGGGTTTAGATGTGTTTCTTAACATTTTGATCGCATTGGCTAACAAGGTAGCTTTGTTGTAAAGACGTAAATTTGGGAGTGACCATCCCCCAAGCACTCTGGGCCTTGTAAGAGTTTTGAATCTAATTTTAGGCGGCTTTCCTTTCCATAAAATTTTTTGCAAAGTTGTTTGCCAAGTTTTGATCATAGTAGTGGGGATAGCTATTGGGGCAGCCCTGAAAAGAAATATAAACTTCGGCAAAACAAAAGATTTAATGAGGTTAAATCTCTCAGTCCAGGAAAAATTTAGTTTATTCCATTTTATAATGGTATTTTGAACTTCTACATGCATCTCCCGGTGATTCAATGATATTAAGTCTGCTGGATTTTTTGGGATTTTCAAACCAAGATATTCTATATATTTAGGTACCCATTGAAATTTAAAATTATCCCTAATATAATGATTTTCTTCTTGGTTGAGATGAAAAGACATGATCTGTGATTTTGAAGAATTGATCCTAAGACCTGATACTTTCCCAAAGTTATCGAGAAGGGAGTTCAAAGCCGATATGGATTCTGTGGGGTTAGATAGATATAAGATCATGTCGTCAGCAAACATTGAGAGTTTGGTTTCTTTGGATTTGAATTGTATACCTTTTTTTGTGCCGAGGTCCTAATAGCATTGGCAAGGGGTTCGATTGCTAGGGCAAACAATAACGGTGACAGGGGGCACCCTTGACGAGTGCCTCTCATTAAAGGAATGTCATTGGTGCAGGTTCCATTAATTTTAATCTTGG